TGCATGCTGGTTGCTGGGCACATCTGAAATCAAATCAAGACTCGATTACACTGAAAAAACTTACATGCTTCTTTTTGATGTAACCAAATCAGTGCTAGGTAAAAATAACTAACCAAGTTCATGTTTTCAGCATTCTTCATGTTGTTTGACTGAATTAATGTTCTCCTTTGCAATTTTGTTGTGATTTAGTCACCAAGCCGCAGACTTCCAGCTATAAATGTCTCACAACTCCATTTCCCAGCTGCATGCATCTCCAAGAACTCCAGAGCGTATGTCTAGACGACCCTCTGAGAAATCTCCCTCTGTGGCCTTACTGAGCTTTTGCAGTGACACAGAGACTGATGATGTCAGCCATTTCCAAAACTGACAACCATGCTTCCCACGGCTCAGTTAGCCGAGGCAGGCAATCCGGCTGGAGGCAGTGGACTGGAGCTTTATTCTGAGACCAGTGAACACACACATGTGCATACACCTGTTCTTACACACACGTGCACAGATGTGCTTTTGGGGAAGGCTGGACACTGATTTTGCACAGTTGTGTCTTAAGCCTGTTTTTGTTAGCATAAATGAGGTTTTCCTTTTTGACTTCTGCGTGAAACTCAGAATGAAATGTAATGACGACTGGTACAATTCCCCTGCTGTACCCATAGGAATTCAATTTCTCCTGCTGACCTGAGGACCTACAGCTGGCTAGTTCTACACTGGAGGGTTAAACACAAGCTTAGGAATAGGAGAAAGCATTCTAGTCCCTTCTACACTTCATGTCTGTTTTGCTGGGTGTTAGCCTAGCAGTCATTCAGACTTGAGGTGAGATTCATCTCACTCAAGATTAGCTGTTTTCAGTGCCTGACCTCGCTGTTTTTTTTGTGGATGTTTAGTTTTAGGTGGAATGGTCCATGACACGTGAATGCATGTTTTTCCCAAGTAGGTGTTCAGGGACTTGAGGGTGAGTAGGACAGATAAGAGTATCAACAATTTGGACATATTTATATGGCCAAGTAAATTCTGCTAGAATGTTGCTTCCATACTGATAAATTAAACATGCCTAGTACTGTTCTTGGCCTTGAGGCCAGCTGAGATGGCTTACTTCCATGCAATGGCTGTCTCACCCTCCAAAACAGAGTGGCTCTGTGCACACCTCTTATTAGAAGTGGCCCCTGGTCCCTGCTAACTAAGTCTTGAACTATGCACAAGAGTTATTTGGGAGAGTACTTCTGGCACAGACCAAAGCCATTCCAAAGCTAAGGTAGGCGCTGTCTGTTTAGGGAGAATGGAGCCAGTGAACTTGGCGGAAGCATTTCCAGTCCCACTTTCTCCTGCAGACCACAGAAATGAAAGGGTGGGTCTGTGCCGTAATGTCTTTTGGCTCTTCTGTAAAGATCCTTAGGCTAAACTCGGTGATGGAATAAAGACTTGCAGCATGGAAGATTGACTACATTTGGTGTTCACTGGTCCCTTACCTGACAGATAGACAAAGCCTTTCTTGTAGTCCCAGAGGAGGGAATGATGCCTGACTTATAATCATGATACCACACCATACTATCACTGAGGGAGATAGAGATGACTAGACTGGAACTTCCATCATGATATGGCCCAGGACTTAATACCTGTGGTGGGGGTCTGGATTAAAACTAACACTTCCCTCCCCTCCGCCACTCTAAAGTGATGAGCACTGAGAAACATGATGGATCATCAGCACAAAAAATACATCAAATGTGGCTTTGAAACATCAATGTTGGAAGTTTCCAATTGAGTAGTCAAGTTGTCTGTTACAAAAGGCATAGAGTTTAAGCAACTGCTGTCTTGAAAGACTATTAAAATTAAATTATGAATTCACATCTCTGTCATTACAGCCCTGAGCATTGTAGCTGCCTAGGTATTTCATATTGGAGTATCTAAGCCCAGCAACACAGGGCTTAGTTTGCTGAATAGTGTACAGTGTTATCTAATTTAATAACATTAAACTAGGATGTTCTGATAATAATATTATTTGGAAGCTGTTTATTTAATAGTATTTATATTTTGTATGTTGGTTGAATTTGGGGAAGAAAAGAAGAAACTGGGGAGAGCATAGTAGGAAATTGTGCAGTGTATTTATCTGAGACCACATCACATGGTCTGCAAAGCATGGCTTTTGCTTTTATACACATAGTCCTGGCGACTCTCCCACTAGCAACAATAGTGCTCAGACTCATACTGATGTCACTGCTGAGTTATTTAATTTGACTGAATGAGATTAATGTGTTTATTTAAAACCTTGGTCAAAATGGAAAAGAAAATCTCCGGACAATACTTTTACGTGAACATGTATGTTTTCATATCTGATGATTGCAGTGTTGCATTAACTTATCAGGAGCAGTTGTTTACACACAGTAATGCCTGGGAGACCCCTCAGATAAGAAGTGTGAGCCATTTTCCTTCTCAGCCTGGAGCAGAGACTTTTGCACCACTAGTGGTCCCATGGGCTTTCATCCCAGGCTCTCCTCACTTCCTGTTGCTGCTTTCAGGGCTGATCCACAGAGATCCCAGCATTATTTCATTTCTTGCATGAGGATAGGGTTTGGTGCTGCTGAGCAATGACAGCAGTGCTGTGGTGGAGCCTCCACAGGTTCTCACCAGGTAGTGAGTGACAGACACCTCCACAGAATGCCTAGATGAGGCTGGCAGTGGGCTTTGTAGGCTAAGCCTGCTCCCACAAAGGCTGGAGACTGCCTGCCTAAATTCTATCCGTGTTATGTTTTACCAGCAGCTTGAGGGTTTTTTTCCTATGATAAATCATTCTGACCTTACTTCATTCTTACATGTACCTTCTAAGTGTTTGGAATAGACTTCAGTTTTGACTAAGCGGCATTAGTAACTACCCAGTTAAATGCTCCAGTTCATTGGATTTTTACTAATGCAGAGCGGGAGAAAAATCTGGAATCTGAAGTTTCTTTTTGCATGGTGGGACAAGTTTGGGTTATTCTGTGGAACTGATCATTGATTGCTGAATGGTACGAGTGGCGGGATTTCTGCCATGCTCTGCCAAGAGCCTCTCTTGACAGCAGAGGACAACTGCACATACACATAGATTGATAATATAGAAATTGCATAAGCCAGAGCTCGATGCCATGCTGGGTGCCTGAAGCAAGATGTACTTGCCCTTCCTTTCAGTTTTGTAGTCCCTCTGTTCATATTTTCATGTAGTGTCCTGTTCACTGGTGCTTGGAATATGAATCTCTTGGGGGAATACAGCTTCTTCAGGGGCCCGTGACGTGCCAAAGAGTCACTTTGTGCTTCCATCTCTCTGTCTCTCTGGAAGGCTTTGAGGAATTTGAGCCCCTGCCCTCATCACTGCTGCTCTCATGAAATAAGGGAAAAAGCTCCTTAGAATACATGTATCTGTATTTCTCAGGGTGCTGGATATCTTAAAGGGTAATGCAGTGGGGCAGATGAATGGGCATGAAAATGAAACAAGGGCTAGGAGAAGAACAGCTCTAGGGGGTCACTGTTCCTCAGCAAACACTGCATGTTGTCTAAGAGGGTTTGATACCCTGGGCCATATGTGCTTGCCCTGCAGCATGCTCCAGAGCTGTGTGGTGCTGAGGGTATCAGACTGCTGGGGTATCCGACTCTGACAAGGAGCCAGTCTTTGGGATTGATGTCCTGTCTTAATATGTTGTACTTTTGCCTGAACTCAGTGTCCCCACTCTTGCAACTTTACAAGTGAAATTCTGCAAGAGCTGTGCCTTAAAGGAAACTGTAGAATAATATGGTTTGTGAAGTCATGCTGCTCCCAACACCAGGCAGTATATCTGTCTCCTCAGTGGCTGCATATAAGCAGTGATGAGGACTATGTCCAGGCCTTTACTGGTGGGGGACAAGAAGAATCTAAGTCCTCCCACAAAGGTGGACTAGAACAGTCATGGAGCTGCTTACTGGAAGGCATCCATTCAGAAGCTGCCCGCACTCCAGCTTTAGGTGACCTTGTATATTTCAGATCTTTAGACTTGATATGCACAGGGGGTCCAAAGAGTATAGTTAAAGCATAAATAGCTTGACATACAAAGACGTTATTCCTCAGAGTTCCAGGCAGTGGGAATGTGTCATTTTCAGCTAAAATTAGACTGGGTCCAGCTGCATTAAAAAAAACTAAAATAAAAGAATAAGAAGAAAACCCATCAAGAACTAAACTCTTTCTTTGGACTTTTGTCAGATATAGCAAGTCCTAGCAGAAATAACACAGGAACCATCCAGCACAAACCGTGTCCAGAACTTTGTGATTTTCATCCAAAAAACCGTGCTGTTGGAGACAGCAGAACAGTCTGGCTAGGCAGACAAGGCTTTTCCCTGGCGTGTGGGAAAACGTAAATAAGCTTAGAGAATAGTGATATATCTTTAAAGGCACTAAGTGAAATCTGGGAGTAGTTGAATTTTAAATTATTTTTTCAGTTAATATTATACAGCTCTTGACAGCTGAGTGATATTGGAGAGGCAGAGAGAGAGTTGAAAACAGAAAAATATTCTACTCAGTACTTGCATAAAGTTTGATTTTACAGATGTAATTTTGTAGAGGATGCTTGAGCTGAACCTACAGCTACCAGCATTTAAAAAAAATAAAGGTACTTTTTTAATAGTAAATATAACCCCAACCCTGCAGTAATTTCCCTAGTGCATTAAACTCTAAACACAAATTGAAGTGACTGCTTTCCAAGGTCCAACTCTAAAATGAGTGTGGAGGGTAATGGGGAGGAAAGGCTTGGACCCAAAATAAACAGCAAAAACAAATATAAAACCATTGAAAGGTGAGGTTGGACAGAGTCTTGGTTGACATGGTTTAGTGTGAGGTGTCCCTGCCCATGGCAGGGGGGTTGGAACTAAATGATCTTAAGGTCCTTTCCAACCCTAACTGTTCTATGATTCTATGAAAATTAAACACGTTATGAAGAATTCCTCTTTCAAAAGATTTTATTGAAGGAACAATTAAAGAGGTGTGTGAAGCCTAACTGTGTGTTGTGTTGCTATTCCAGGCTTCATCAGAGTATCTTAATGTTTGGAAAGTTCTGAGACCCACCCTCGTGGACTACTTGTAACCAGTGCCTGAGACTACAAAAACGTATGTGTGGAAGAACCTTTCTGTGAAGGAAGCATCCATCTCAATATTGTGGAAACTCTGTGCAAGCCTTGCAAGGCGAGAGAGCAATTTGTGCTTCCGTTGACACTCGTGTGTAATCTCTGATTCTTATGCACTCCAGCACCCCTATCAGTTCCTTGTTCTCCTTTACCAGCCCTGCAGTGAAAAGGCTGCTGGGCTGGAAACAAGGAGATGAAGAGGAAAAGTGGGCAGAAAAAGCTGTTGATTCCTTGGTGAAGAAGTTAAAGAAGAAAAAAGGTGCCATGGAAGAACTGGAAAGGGCTCTGAGCTGCCCTGGTCAGCCCAGTAAATGTGTCACGATCCCACGTTCCTTGGATGGTCGGCTGCAGGTGTCTCATCGCAAGGGTCTTCCCCACGTTATATACTGCAGAGTGTGGCGCTGGCCTGATTTACAATCTCACCATGAGCTGAAACCACTGGAATGTTGTGAGTTCCCATTTGGCTCAAAACAGAAAGAAGTATGCATTAACCCCTACCATTACCGGCGGGTGGAAACCCCAGGTAATTATATCATCTGCAGATGATTCACATCTCTCTATTAGCTCTCACACTGGCAGCAGGTCTAGTCTTTGTGCATCCTATTGAGTTGTGCTGTGAAATCTGAAAAGGCAGGTTCCATTTGATTGAAGGACCCTGGGTCTTTACCTGCCTGGTGGTTATCTTTACCATCACAGCTGTGGCAGTCACGAGTAAGTGGGGAGTAAAGAGCACCTTGCCCAGCGGGTCGGTATCCAGTTGGACCCCCGAGGACGCCTGGATCTTGTCCAGGGTGCTGAAAGGTTCTTTTCCATGGACCCAGGTGCTGGCTGCCCTCTGAGCCCTCCCCCTGCAAACTGGTGTCCGCTTGCATGAATTGTGGGTTAGATTTAGCACCCTAGCTAGATTTATGTCTCATTGTTTGAAACCCAGCAGTCGACTCATTAATCCACATGAAAAATGTATCACTATCTCTCTCTTTAAAGATTACAGTTGCAGTAAAATGACTTATTTTGCGTGGATATGAAGCCAGATCAGTTGATTCTTCCTAAAATGCCTGGTGGCCTGCCTTCAGTGGGATTTACTTACCTAAATGTGTAGTTTGTGTGAAATGCCCCAAGTTCACATAAAACTTTGAATTTTTCCACCGATGAACCTCTTTAGATTGGACATGGTCAGCACTGAAAACTTATGACCTCACTTGAAGGGTCATTTAACTGGGCTTTGTGTCAGTGAAACAGCTATTAAAAAATAATGGTGTTTAGTGTTAACTTCTATAGGGATCTTGGAAAGCAGGCTGGCAGAGAGCTTGAGCAATCATCCTCTTCTCCTCTGCCCCTACTCCCAAACCAAAACTAATTACCAGGTACATTCCTGACAGATCTTTTCCTAATGAGCTCTAAAATCCCATGTGGTAGAAGCTCCACAACCTCACCAGGCAAGTGAATCTATTGCTTTGCTATCCTTACAGTCCAGAATGATTTCTAATGTCTAACCTAAGTCACCCTTGCTGCCAAAAATCACAGTAATTTAATTTACTAATGGATATGGTTGGTAAGTGTATACTTATTATTCTGTGATTATTCTTAGTCTGGCATGAACTTTACTCTGAGGTGACATTAGGAGCAGATAAGTGAACTGTGGGATGTTTCTTTTCACACATATGAAATAAGGGAAGGACATTTGTTAACATTTGTTCAACAACACGGGCTACTCCCTTTTCTGATAGTCCCTCCATGGCAGTAGAGCTGTCATTTTGAAGTTGTATCTGAACTGCTGTAAACATTGTCACAACTAAAAATTTGCAGCTGCAGTGAGTTGTCAACAGTTTTCAGTGGAAAAAGCTGATCTCCTGCCTTGCTAAAATAAACTCTTAAAAAATCTAAGAAAAGATGCGCATAAAATACCTCATTTTGTGTATCTTTCTCTTTGAAGGCTATAATTCCAGTGTTGTTAATGGAGATTCCTCAGCACAGTAGCTGACAGCACTGTGCAGGGCTGTTTTCAACCACAGCCTTCTGATCTGTTCAGTGGCAACTAACAAATGCTAGTACTGGGATAATCCAGCAGGCGCTAAATGGCTGCCAAATCTTGTTGTTGTGACCCTGAAACTCAGAAGGTTTCAGCTGTGAGCATGTCTCTGTCATTTGTCTGTGCTACAGACAGCTACATCTCTAGTAGTAAATGAGATGGGACCAAGGTGCAGGTCTGAGTATTGCTGAATTGTTGGTGTGGTCCCAGGCACAGCTTTAACCCATGTGGACTCACATGTACTAGCAGTTCTCAGGGCACAGGGGTTCACCCAAAGGAGACTTTGGGTACTTTGGATGTGACCACTTTTTTTTTTGGAGGTGAAAGAGAGCACAGCTGCGAGGATGCAAGCTGTGCTGTGCCAGTTGTCCACAGGACCCTGAGACTGTTCTTGGGCTGTTGTATTCACCCCAACTGCTCTTATGGGGACAGCTTAGAAGCTGAAGCTCACCTTCCTACTAAAGATGAGGTACAGCAAGAAAGCACAACCTACTCAGGTGTGCTGGAGCAGCAGCAGGCGAGATAACTTGCACCACTGCAAATGTCAGTATTGCAGCTCCAGGCCAGAGGCAGTTAGAAGCTGTGCTGCAAAGACGTGGTGGTGAGACAGGAGAAGAAATGAGCTTGGGGAGAAAGTGGCAGCAGTGAAATCACCACAGAAAAGGCTAGGATCTAGGGCCTGTTTAGAAAAGAGAAGTCTGAAAGGGGATCTCATTAATGTATATAAATATCAAAGGTGGATGCCGGGAGGATGGTGCCAGACTCTTTTTAGTGGTGCCCAGCACAGGACAAGGAGCAGTGGCCATAAACTAGGACACAAGAAGTTTCACTTCAACATGAGGAAGAGCTTCACACTGAGGATGGCAGAGCACTGGAACAGGCTGCCCAGGGAGGTTGTGGAGACATTCTTTCTGGAGACATTCAAAACTCGCCTGGGCATGTTCTTATGTCACAGGCTTTGGGCATAGCTAGGTTTCCAGCAAGAACTGTTGCAACTAAAGGGAATTAGAGAAAGTCTGGTGCAAGAAAGGCAGTGGCAGGACTTGAGACATGACAGTATTTACCTTCAATTGAACAAAGATTATCAACACTTGAGCATGCATAGAAGGAAGCATCCAACCCTGGCTCTCTATGGAGAATAGCAAGTAGAAAAAAAGGTCTCCACTGAGTGGACACAACACAGTTAAATTGTGAGGACAAGCAGGTCCCAGTGCACTCAGTCACTCAGTTTCGTGCCTCTGGTCACACTTCCTTCAGAGTGGTGAGCCCTGGAAGGTGACATCTGTTACCAAAAGAACAAAGAGAACAAGGCCCTCTGGGGAATTTTTATCCACAAACAAGAAAATATCTGAATTTCTTACCCACTGCAGAGGCTTTAGCCCTCTAGGCAGCCACAGAGCAGTCACTGGAAAGATTGGTGGCAAAAACTGTACAGGAGAGCAGAAATTAAGAGTACCCTGGTAAGAACTGGGAAGAAGTTCAAAGCTTGAAAATTCCTCTTGCTGACTCACTCAGGGCACGTCAAAGGCTTTCCCTGACAGGTGCTGTTCACACATTCAGATTCTCAGCTTGTATTTAGAGAAGTTGCATTGAGTTCTCACATGGCTGAGGAAAGCCACTTCCTTAGCTGTGGTACCCACAGTGAGGTGCCAACCTCACAGTGCTGCACAGCATTGCTGTAGCACAGCTATCCCATGCACAGCACCTCTGCTGAGTGCAAAGGGATCACCAGTTCCCTGTTTCTAAGGCTGCTGGTCAGAGCTGGCTGAGCAGCAGCAGGTCTGGCAAGCATCATACCAGTTTTGTGGAGTAGCAGAGGAAAACTCCAGAAGCAGCAGCTCACAGCCTGGAGCTGCTCACAGGAGCGTGGGATGGGAGGGATCCAGCTCACAAAAACCACATCTGCAGTGGTGGTAGCTGTCTTGTCCCAATATAGAGCAGATTAACTGAGCAGTAAAAGTCTGTTTCTCTCCATTGGCTATGAAGAGATCCATGGAGGACTGGGCAGTTCATCTCATGTGTGAATACATGTGAGTCCTACCTGGAGAGTCTAGGAAATCCGAAAAGCTAAAGAAGCAATAAAAAAGCAGAAATACCTTTCTCTACCAAAGGAATTAAAAGGATGGCAGCAATTCTTCATTCCACAGGTAGGGGCATATCAGAGGCAGAAGCAAAGAAAGTAGTCTCCAGAGCACCACCGCTGTGCTGGCCAGAAGCTAATTAGACATGCATTGGGCTGGATAAAGGTCTACATGTAGTCTCTTAACAGGTATCCCAGTGCCTGTATTTCCAGACAGGTAAGAAGATAACTTTTGCAGTGAACGCCTGTCATCAGTCCAATCTTTTGTATATTTTTAGGACTCAGTTCTTCAATTCATGAGTGACTTGCAAATTCCCAAATGGGATATGCCAGTGGGTAGGCAGGAGCAGGATTTAACCCTGCCCCAGCTGCAGCATAGTGCTACATCAAACAAGAGGTTGTAAACCTGCTGTTGGTACCAGGCACTGGTCCTCCTCCAGCTTAAACTGCCCCAGCTCTGAGCAGTCAGTGTGCGCTGAGGGTGCACTCCAATGAGGGTGTTCCTACAGCCTCTTCTCATGCACATGTTTTGCATTATCTGTACATTATTTGCTTTGTAGCAATTAGACCACTCTTTCATTATGTAGGATAAATGAGAGTTTGCTGTAATTAAAAGATGTTAGCTAACCTACCTAGACAGAGCTTTTGGGACCAAACAGTATGTTAAAACGCTTTCAAACCATATATTTCTGACAGCATTTATAACCTAGAGCACACACTGCTGTTTGTTTCCATAAGCTAGTAAGGATAAGACTGAAAGATAATGTGCTGCTGGGGTTTTGGCCAGAGGAACTCTGTACATGAAGTCAGTCAACCCAAGCCTTCTGAATTGTTCCTGGTGTTGGGACAATTCATCCTTGTCACAATAACTCAAATTGCCTCCTTCTGAGGTGTCTTTTAGATATGTACAATAGCAACTGGGGATTAATTCCCCCTACCTACATTTAAGGCCTTAACTAAGATAATTAGGCATTATGTGAGTTAGCAACTAATAGAGAAATCTTGGAGTGGCAAGCCTCTTTGTGTTCCAGCCTAGGGGCTGCATCTTCATAGGTAACTCACTAGTTGGGTTTCCTAAAATGTTTTGACTCAAATTCCCCTCTTTCATCTGATATGTCAGTATCCAAAATTATTTGGGTCAACCTTAGGTTCCTCAGTGCAACAATGCTGTTAACAGCACTGATGGCATGAGATATAAGTGAAGAGAGTTTATGAAGAGAGGCGATATCTTCTATTAGACCAAAGTTTACATGGATTAATTTCTATTTCAGTTTTCTGACCTGTGTTTTTCATGTCTTAACTACCAACCACTGACATTTGCCTCCTCATGCTAGATCTTTTCTAACTATATTGGAACAGCTAAATTAGTACTGCTGCAATATTTCTATTGCCATTTACATTTCCTTTTAAAGATCCCACTATCTGGCTGGCAGCCTTTCCAAGTACCTGAAGAAGTTCTAAATTAGATGTCTAGCTCCAGGTCTATGCTTCCTTTGCCCATCTGTGAAACACACTGGTAGTAAAATATACAGTGTATTGCAGGGCACTGTTAATTGTTATTAAACTTGGCTGTGGTTTTGGTGGTAGTATTTAGCAAACTTCTGACATACTCAGTCTCTCAGGACAGAAGGAACAGGTAACTGAGAAAGAGAAATGTGCCACTTGCATTTCTGAAAGAGGACTGTGTGTGCATGCCCTACCTGTGAATATCATGGTACCTTGCTCAAATCAGGAGTGAGTCTATATTTTGCATATGGAATTACTGCAACTGGCTGCAAACCTGGGAAAAAAGGTCCAAGAATCTGCTTTTGATTCTCGGTTTTGGAGAGGTTTGTTGCCCTTCGGTGACTTGTACCTAGACAGCAATATTTGGGCAGCATAGAATATTCCTCTTTTTAACTTACAGTGATGTACTTCCAAGAGTGCAATTTTAACCAGATTTTTTTCTTTTTGTTCTCGTTTTTATTTTCAGTCCTACCTCCTGTACTTGTTCCAAGACACAGCGAGTTTAACCCTCACCTCAGCCTCCTTGCCAAGTTTCGAAACACTTCTCTGCACAGTGAGCCGCTGATGCCGCACAATGCCACCTATCCTGATTCTTTCCAGCATCCTCCATGCACTCCTTTTCCATCATCACCCAGCCACATGTTCTCTCAGTCGCCTAACAGCATCAGCTATCCCAACTCACCAGGAAGCTCTTCTGGACCAGGAAGTCCCTATCAGCTCACAGGTAAGAATGAGCTTTCAGACATCCTGACTGAGGCAGCTGAGTTTCTTGCCGTGGCCTAGAGTCAGGTGCCAATTCTGTGTGCTTCCCCTATAGCTGTAGCTGAGACTGAACTGTTGGACAGGATTGATTTGGAATGTGATTTCTTCTGACTGTCTCTTAATACTGGTTCCTAGTCCTTCTGGGTGGTGCTTAAGGGACTAAGTGTTGTGGTCATCCCAGTGGATGTGATTTCGTGATTACTGTAAGGGGAAATTTGAGGAGAGGACCATGTGAGCCAGGCTACCTTGTGCCTAAAGCTGGCCATGCAAGCTTCTGATACAGTCCATGGAAAAGAACACTTGCAAGACCTACGTTAGGCACCTCTAATAAGGATTGTCAAGCTAGGGACCTTTAGAAACTCCATCAAGGAAGACAGAATAAAATCAGGAAATTGGTATGTAGAAATATTTTGAATGTATGGTGATCCCACTGACTGTATAAACTTATACAGGAAATTAAGGTGTTTAACAATCAGGATCAACACTTGCTGAAGCCACCAGGCAAATTCCTGTAATTTTGGAATGTGTTTCATTATCTCCACAGTTCTGAGGTCATCAGGATTATGTCACTCAGATTGTTTTCATTGTTAACTCCTTACTTAGTACTGCTCTAATTACCTGACATTTGACTATGCTTTTGCTGTTAAATAAACCAAGAAGGTGTCATGTACATAGCTGAGACCTGGCTTTAATATCAAAACATAGTTAAGATTCACTTCTGCACTTTGTTGTAACTCTGAAATAGTTTCAATCAATCATCTAAGCTTTTTCACAAAGATGAATTCAGGTCAGAATTTTGTAGCCTAATGTTTTAATGTCTCGACTACAAAGCATTTACATTCATGTCCTTAGTGATATGTCTATTTTGATTTTAAGTGTAAGAAATAAAGGTGTTTATTTTTACAAGGTGTTTTTAGTATTTGAACTGTCTTTTAAGCTGGACAATTTCAACACAGTCTGATGTGTTGAAAGTGTTTTTCCTTCCCTCTCCATTCATTGAAAGGACTGTCATTCATTTCTTCTCTAGGTCTGTACTTCAGATTAAATCATGTTTAGCAACACTGAAGCTTTTCCTCAAGTAGTAGGACTTGTTTGTCTTCTCCCATCTTTTCTTCTCTTTCGTGTAATCAAGCTGGATTAAGTGGAGCTGGTCCTGACAGGTATATCAGGCCCATTCCAACTATGTAATGACTGACTAGCGCATTTCACTGAACTTGGGACCTTGCGAAGTTACTTAAAAATGGAAGTGGCTCAACCTGAGCTTCAGTGTATCACAGCACACGGCATGCTGATAAACATAATTTGCCTGTGTAACAATCAGGGATGGAAGACTATCTAATGCAAACTGGAGTTACATCAAGAACCTTGAGTGGGCTTGGTTTGACCAAGTCAACAGTGCACATTTCTACATCTCATGCAATTGTTTATACTCTCTCTGTGATCAGTGGAGAAAAACAAGCACTCCTAGAACAAGATGCATTACATCTTAAGGTATATGTCTAAAGTAGCTGAGATGCACCATGTCTACAGGTGCCTCTTTTTCTTTGGTGAGTATAAAGAAAGCGTATGGTTACTGACTTAGGTGTAGGCATTCAAAATACCTGTATGACCACAGTATATTCCTTTCTCTGACTTGTACTCTTTTCCACTCTTTCTTGATTCTGTTTTACTGGATTAGCCTGTTGCATTTTCTGTGGGAGGATTATGCCATCTTATATGTTAGAAATATCATACCGTGTATGAAATGCCTAAATCCTGAACAATGGTTAAATAGAATGACATTCCTGTGCAGTACTTACTTGGAAGTTTCAACATTTGTCTTATGAGACCATCCAAATTATCCACTCTGGGTGAAGTTGCTCTGTTTTGAGGGCCAGCCAACAGACCCTGAACACAAGAGGAAATTTCAGTGATGTGGAACCAAGTTAAAAAGGCTCCTTAAAAAGACCCTCAGTCCTGCAAGTTTGTGTATGGCTATACTTTACACATAAGCCCACTGAGTTTCTGTTCAAATGAATAAATCTACATGCTATAGTGCTTATACAGTGAACGTCACTGATTGACTAGACACTGGTCTAGGCCTGATGCACTAGTTGTGACTGTCCCTCTCTCTTTGAAGTGCAGCATGTCCATCTTGACAGCCTGCCTTCCCATTCTCCCTGAACGTATAATGGTCTTAATCTGGAGACTGAAAAGAGGTCAGGTTCAGATCTGTGCTGTTTCCAGCCCTTCCGAGCTAAACAATGCTGAAGAAGTTAAGTATTCACTAGGAAAAGCCAGGGAGAATTTACCAGTGTATTGATTTAGGTGTCTTTTCTTTCTTTTCTTTCCTTCTTTCTAACAGTGGAAACTCCACCTCCACCTTACCATGCAAGAGAACCTCCAGGAACCCACAATGGGCGGTCAATGGATGCAATAGCTGAAAGTCAGCTAGCGCTGTCTTTGCCCAATGGAGGCAAATCTGCTGACGGAGAAGCTGAAAGTAAGTAACCATTTGTATTATTCTTAAAAAAATAAAACAACTGTTAAGCAAATAATTTTTTATTTGAACAAGAAGGTTCAGTGATCTGTCATAATAGGTTTCAGAGAGTTTCGCTGTACTGCTGTGTACTAGACCCACCCATGAGCCAGCAAAATAGGTTTCAAGAATTCAAGAATTTAGTGAATTATGTGTGAAGTTGCAGAGTTTAGTCCTTATTTGCATTCATGAACAATTACATTTGGAAAGTTGTTAATGAAAGCAAACACTGTTATCAGCGTTGTAAAGACAAAGATACCAAATCAAGGATAGTGAGGCAGTATAACACAAGAGCACTATAAATATCAGAACTCATTTCTTTATCACCTTCAGTTTTGGGTTTCAAGTACTTTAAAGCCTTGTGGTTAGGACCTTTCTTACTACCATCTTTGTATTAATATTATATTACTGGCTGGCTAGAAAAGGACATGTTCTAGTGAAGTACAAAGAGATTTTTATGGATGGCCAAACTCTTTGTCCTCATATGAGAATGCTTTACTGGCATGGGTCATCAGAGTAGAACGGTCTGGGATCTTCCTTGTTTCCCTCAAAGCGACTTCATGACCTCTCCAACATGGTCTGTTACTTCCAGACTAGTGCTGGCAGGTCATGCCTCCACCATTCAAAGCCCGTTGCTACAGAGCAGCAAGGGGAAATGGGAGTTTCTCAGCTACGTTTTCTTTTGGCTTCCTGCTACTGCAAAGGAAAAATCACCATTGTTCTTGTAGTCCAGCATATTGTAGTGCTAAACAGATGTCCTTTGTGGCATGAGGACTGAACACCGTGCACACACATGCACATTAAAAAAATAATGCCAGCTGTCTGAAACAGTGAGGAGCATGTATGTATCACAGAACTGGAGCTGAAGAATGATGAGGGTAACAGTGCTAATTACAGATGAATACACAGAATGGGCAGATAATAACTAGTTATCAGGCATCAGTACTTTTAAATAAGTTAATGAGATACTTTAATCTCTTTACCATAATTCATCATCCCTGATCTTTGCCCTAGTGAGCATCAGTTAGACGTTTGTTAGAGGTTGTGCTTAGAGGTGTTCTGGGGCCAGGGGGGCTCACATGCCTGTGTTGGACAGGTAGGATGGGGTTTCCCACTAACTCTTGTAGGACTAATGTGGCTCAGAGATTCTGTTACATTTTTGAGTCTTTTTCTGTCTCTGAGTTAGAAAACCTATGCAGGGGAAGATCCAAAAGCAATGATCTTGCTGACATTTCTGCTTCTGGTCTCACATGGAAGTGGAATGCCCTAAAGCATGCAAAATTTGGGGGAAAGATTGATTACTTCTGAACTTCAGAGTTTAGTATTAGGCTGAAGGCTTAGCTCAGTTTTGACTTGATTTGAGCCCATCTGTCATCCCTAGCTCCTGCTGGTGTGCAGAGCAGATATATCTCTTACTATTTTCAGTGTAGAGATTAGGCTCCAGTTCAGCAAGGAATGTCTGCATGTGCTTAATTTAATGCAGTGGAATCATCACTTTTAAGAACAAGTGGGACTCCTCAGAGGCTTAGAGTTAAGCTGGTGTACCAGTGCTTTGCATGTTTGGGGCTTCAGTCATAAAATTAAGAAGAAGCAGAAGCTGCTGTTGAGATAAAGCATGATAAGTGACTGTTTAGATGAAGAGCTGGGGAGGGGGAGAATGGGGCAGAGGGAGAGAAGGAGGAAAGAAAAGAGAGACTGATTGTTTAAAAAATAATAGGGACCTGAGCAGCTGATTAATTTTATTTCCTACAGACTTTCGGCCTGTTTGCTATGAGGAACCGCAACACTGGTGCTCAGTTGCCTATTATGAACTCAACAACCGGGTAGGAGAGACTTTCCAAGCTTCGTCTCGAAGTATCCTCATAGATGGATTTACAGATCCCTCAAATAACAAAAACAGGTTCTGCCTGGGACTGCTCTCAAATGTAAACCGCAACTCTACTATAGAGAACACCAGGAGACACATAGGAAAAGGTAAGAGAAAACACGTTCTTCTCAGGAATATTCAGAGCTTGAAAACTGCAGTGTTAACAAACCCAGCTGACTTGTCAGATGTGCTTGTCTTAAAACCAAAGCTCTGAGATTACTTCTGAAATAGAAGAAAAGCATCTGATTCTTTCCTGACTGGATAACAATTAGCAGAGTAGCTCCTTACAAAAGCTTGGCCAGCAAAGAGAAAAATGTTGTTTATAGTTGTGTGTTCTAATTTAGCAGTATGTATTTTCATTTTATTTATTATAGCTTCTGGCAACTGGGAATATTGCCATTGACATGCCACTAAAAGGATAATTGCTGGTGCCTCAGGTCTGGTTCTCCTCCCACCAAGTAACAACAGGAGATGGATGAAAGAGTAGTTGAGTTACTTGGCTGAAAAACTCTACTGGAGTTGCCTTTGTAGCTTTTTGCTCCCTATCAGTCTGATTCCCTGCCTTGTCAACTTCTTGCTGTTAAAACTAGGTCTTAGCAGTTCTTCCTGTGTGGTCTACTTCTGGTGTACATATACCCTGTGTATGTCCTGTATACTCATATACTACTGGTATATAGTAGTATATGAGTATATAGTATATATACTATATACTATATATACTGGTATATAGTAGTATATACTCATATACTACTGGAGGCAGGTACAAAGAGACCACAGCTGGATGTGTGTGGCTGCACACACTCCATCACAACTCGGTAGGGCTGTGTAGGGCCTGATATTCTCCCGGAACTTACTGTTGTTTGTGGCAGTGAGTCAGAAGTCCTGTATGGGACACTTCTCTGTGCAGATGGAGCTTTGCCCATTCTGGTATATCCAGTCTAGACTCATTATCTTGCCAACCCAGCCTCTCACCAGTAGCTGCCTGGGAATGGATTTCCCACTGGACTAATTGACTCTAATTGTTCCACTCCTATTATCTTGTCAACCTCACCTCATTTCCCAGGCCTAGAGCACTGTTTTAATTGGCTCTTGATAGTTTAGTGTTGAGTGATTGAAGCTCTGAGACAAACATGGCATCATTTTTGCAAACAACACTGAACCTGTAGGCTAGCACAGGAGATGCTATACTTAGTTTTTGTTCTTTTCTCTGGAAAGGAAACCACTTGTGTTGCAGATGCACTGTGTGAAGCCAGTATGATGCTACAAGTGTCTCATAGTAGCTTGTTGTGAGGGGTGGAAATGGGCTGTACACCTAGTTCTAACTTACTCAAAAATAAAGCAAAGCTTTTCTGTCAATATAAGCTGTCAGAGGGGTGTAGATCAAAGCTGAACCCAGCCGTAAACGAAGACTGACAAAAGATCCCAGTCAAAGCTGTCATTTGAGGATGCTACATCCTGTGACTTTCTGCCCCAAAAGAGGAAGAGACAGAACAGAAAGAAAATGAGATGAATGCTAATGGTCCTCATCCATTCAAATCTGAAGATCTGTCTTCACTGATTAAAAGTCCTTTAAAGTCTTACTCTAGGAATCTGCCCAAGGGAAGGGGGCAGGTTGCCCAGAGAGGAGCTTAGTATATCAGAGATCCTTAATTTTACTGTTCTTCCCTGGTTATGCAAATCTTAAAAAAACATGTCCAACTGGAGTAGAAGTGGCACCAGTACAGGCCTGCAGAAGAGCACAGAACAGCTCCCAAAGTATGTAGTTCAAAGGCATGCTAGACAGATGAAAGCTGCTTAAATGGATACAATTGTCACATGTTAACAGGGTAGAAAAAAGAGTGAGTAAACAAGATTAGTTGAGTAGGATAAGGATATGTGATTGAATTGTCATCTAGTGTATCAGCGTGAAACAGTTTCCTGGAAATACCACATCAAAGCTGAAAACAATCCAGAACACAATGCAACATCTACTAGCAATTGGACCTGTTTCAGCAGTCAGACTTCAAGGACAAAAAGGGGACTTCTGATCAGAGAGTCAAAAAGATGTGGATGCTGGGAGACTGATGAATTCTCAGTTTCTGCAGAAAGCAATGAAATCCCATTTAAACATATGGACCCTTGATTTGGCCTTCTACAAACATGTATTAAGCTGTTTGGCTTCCTTAAGGGTGTTTGCCTCTGGTGAATGAATACCAGAAGAATGGAAATACACACAGACATTTCATTACTGCTTTATTGCTTTTAAAAAGTCCACAAGGGAAAGGCAAATTGTAGCCTCTGCTTTCAGAGGTGACTTTGTAATTTTTCTCATTATGGGCAATGCCTTTGAAAGCATTCATCTTTTTTTTTTCAGAAGTTGGGTGACTCAGGATACTCCAAAAAAATCCAGCCTTTAAAACTTTTCACCTTAGGACCCAGAAGTGTGGTCACCCTAAATTGGTAGCTACACCTGAAGATTTGAAATGTAGTGAATATTTATGTCGTTATTCTTTCCCTACACTCTGTCCTCAGTCTTTATGTTGAAGGTGGCAGAGCACTGGAACAGGCTGCCCAGGGAGGTTGTGGAGTCTCCCTCTCTGGAGACATTCAGACACCCCCTGGACATGTTCCTGTGTAACCTGCTCTAGGTGGTCCTGCCTTGCCAGGGGGGTTGGACTACATGATCTCCAGAAGTCCTTTCCAGCCCTAACGATTCTGTGATTTCAGAAAGCGATATGGACTCCATTAAGGTCAGCTATGGCTTTTGTGTTTTCAGTCCTCCCCTTTTATCCATCTTCCACAGAAGGGAAAGGAGACCATAAGTCAAGTAATAGCAGTCAGAATGTGCAACTCCCCACGATGCCTGGTGCAGCTGGACTGGAGCTGACAGCTGGTCTAATGAGCTGTCATCTCACCCGTGTTCCCAGTGCAGTACTAGCCTGTGCTCTAAGCCACACCTCTGCCACTCACATCTAACTTGAGATCTCGTGGGTGCATAGAAGTAAAAGTCAAGTGATGGCTTGAAGACAGAGTTTAAGGTTCCCATCTGAGTCATCCTGGAAGTCTATGGGAGAGTGTATTTTTCCCAGATTCCTTTCCCACTCAACCTGCTTTTCCCCAAGTCTTTCCCACTTACGTTTAGAAGCCAGTTTTGTCCTAAGGATGTGCTGCTGCCCCTTGCTGTCTTGACCGCAGAATGATGAACAGGTTGGGAATATGTAACCAGTCTTTTTTGTATGAAAGACAAATGAATAAAACTAATTACAGCTAAATTATTAAAGCATAGTTATCACTAGCTCTGCAAGCAGGCCACTGAGACTCTGTGAACATGTGCATTTGTATGTAAGGGTTTGACTGCTGTACCTGGGAATAGAGAGGAAGATTTTATTTTCCTGTAGTGGTGGTTTTTATGAGAACAAAGATTCTCTCCCACCTCTCTTGGCCATGGGAGGGGGGCGTCTCATCTAATCTATCCATGGGAAGGGTGTCTAGGAATCTTCACAGGATGACTTGTCCTCTTTCAGGGTGTGGTTTCATGCACATGTTTTAAGCAGTCTGTGTCCCTATTGCCACGCTTGCAGTGATGAAGATCTCACTCCAAATAAATCTTCTTTTGTTTTGTTTTGTTTGTTTTTAAGTTTATTTGCTGGTTCAGTTCCCCAATCTGGATGGCTGCCCAATCCTCAGACATTGCTGCCAGCATGAAAGCTGGTGTGGGAAGAAGCAGCAGGGGCAGGGAACAAGTGAGCCTTTTCAGCACCTGCACAGACTTCCATCAGTTCAAGCTGGCTGTGAGCCTGTGCTCTGTAGTGGACTGAGTGAATCATCTGGTCACAGTGCTTCCCATCATCTATCAACTAGGGAAGGCATCTGCACAATTAGCTTACACAAGATCCCTAACTTTACAGTTGCTGAATTAGGCTAAGATAAATTCTCAATTTAGGTATATTTTCATCTATGCAGACATTCTGGAGGGACCAGAGTCTTTGATGGATAGAAATGCTTCCATTTTCATTTCCCCAAGGCACAGAAAAAAAAAGAGTTAGTTTCAGTTAGTCACTTAGTTGGGCACTGAAAGTCCAGAATCAAATCCGTCATCTTCTTGCTAAAGGTCATTTTGAACAGGATCTGATGAGTAAGTCACGTCATGTAAATGCAAATACCTGGTTCTGATGTGGTGGATAAAGCAAAATGCAGAAAAACTATTTTAAGTACACACCATGCATGAGATAGAATCCTGCAGTAGAAAATTAGCGTGCAATGAAATTGGTCTTGGTCAGCCTGCATCTGCTCAACAGTGAAAATACATTTAGATGTGTAATGCAGAACAGATTTGTCACTTCTCTTACAGTTTTGATCCATTCTTTGATACTTACGTGTGTATGTATGTGTGTGCCTTGTTATACTGTGCTGTTGGGTTAAAGAAGTAAACCAACCTTCCACTGAGAAACAAAAAAAAAACATCATATGATAAGACTTTTTTCTTTTAGACCAATACCTCAAAATAGCATTTATGACTATTTCCTCTTAATGTTGGTGGGTCCATTGTACAGTTACATGGATATGCACACAGTTTACTGTCTTTTTAAAGGCAATGTGTAGACACTGAGTGCCTGGAATGATCCTGGACTTGTATGTAAAATAGTTAAAGACTTGCTGGTGTAAAGTGTGCTGTGAACAATGGAGAAACAATACACATTATTTCTTCTTTTTCAAGGTGTTCATCTTTACTACGTTGGTGGGGAAGTTTATGCTGAATGTGTCAGTGACAGCAGTATTTTTGTGCAAAGCCGTAACTGTAACTACCAGCATGGTTTCCACCCAGCCACTGTCTGCAAGATCCCCAGTGGCTGCAGCCTCAAGATCTTCAACAACCAGCTTTTTGCCCAGCTGCTGGCCCAGTCAGTAAATCATGGTTTCGAAGTGGTGTATGAGCTGACCAAGATGTGTACTATTCGAATGAGCTTTGTTAAAGTAAGGATTCTTACTTTCTCGCATTTCTGAAAGGCAAATCCCATCACTTTGGTGCAAAACTAGATCTCATAAAATCCTTACCAAGTGGGGATTTAGACACCCAACTTGTGAAAAGCAATTCAGACTGCATGTTTTCCACTACTGCTTTAAACTTCTAGGTGCTTAAAATGAATAGCTTTTGTTGTCAACCTGGAAATTTTTTAGTTTCCAAAACCTAGGTATTTCATAGCTTTCTTTTGTGGAAAATAAGCAGAGACTGCATGGTGATGTTCCCCCATTGTTTGCATAAAAACCTCAACTTAGAGGGGCTTAGCAACATATAATAGCATGTACCTTAGGCAGTTGTGATCTCTGCTATTATTACTGATTTGCAATAGAGTTTGGTAGAGCCATAGATCTGAAAAGAATGTCCTTATGTCTCTAGACTAATTTACAGTCTCACCATTGCTATAGACAGTTAAATATGGTCTCAGTCAAGAAACACTGGGTTCTCCTTCAGCCCCCACTGAGTTTACTGGGAATTGTGACTCTTTGTCACCTGTCTCATCCCTGGCAAGAGATTGTCTTAATTTCTGATGACATTCACTCTGGCCAGCCACAGGACCAGAAGGGCTTCTTGCAAGCAAAATACAACCCCCAAAAGAAAATCTGACCTCCCTTCTGTTATTTGGAAGAGTCAGGAGACCACCTAGGCCATTACTTGTTTTGCGTCTTTCATATATGAACTTTGAAGTCTGCTTTGCGTGTGATCTATCACTCTTAAGAGTTTCTTAAATCTTTTGGATGGCCTTCTCACCAACATGAGATCTTAACTCCTTTTGGCACTTAGGATTCACTTAGGTGCCTGATGTAGCATCTAAAACCCAGGAAATGGTGAGTATTTCAAGGCTGTTTACAATTGTGCTAGACTTACTTCCTATAGTGCTGTAGGGGAGAGCTGGCAGCGATGTTCAGCCTGCAAACTAGAGAAGCTGCACCATTAGAAGCCAGTTGGTCCTGCTAGGTCCCATAAGAAGTGGCTTGAGTATGTCACTTTGCCTTGCAGGTGTGGTTTTATACAAATGACTGAATCAAGCTGATTGAATTCACATCTAAGATACGATAAGCCTTGAGGCTTGAGCCCTGTTCCCTTACGTTCTAAAAGTAGATGAGTTGAGTTGCACACAGCTTTCTGGTCTGATTCTTTCCAGTCATCCTTGGGGATGTCTCTCCTTAACTCTATGAGAGCATTAAGAGTGCTCTGTAACTTCTCCCAAGAGTCCAAGCCAAAATCTTCCTGCCCATGACCAACTTTGTTCTTGAGAAGGAACTGACATCTTGTTCACACGCAAGTGTTACAGGAAAAAAGAAAGCAAGAAACCCAACAAACAGCATTTTCTTTAATGGGAGACATGAATGGGCATGTTGTTTGTAAAGGCAATGTAGCCAGTTACACAATATTTTCATTATATCAGCAACTCAGGGGCAGTCTCTTTGATATGTTATCTGCCTCCATGCCCAGCATGGCAGCAGAAATGGTGATGTTGATGCACTAAATAATGTTGCTGCCATATTATCACCTTGCTTTTTTTAAACAATAGCAGCCACTATAGTGCCTGAGGCACCAGAAAACCAGTGCAAGGAGTCATTTGGAACCTTTTCCCATGACCTTTGGAAAATGACTATGCAAATCTCATCTTGTTTTCTTCCTGGCCTGTAAAAACTCTTTCCTGTTCTCAGTCTTCTCCAGTTATTTCTCTCCTAAGGTGTGAGCCCCAGTGTGTATTCAGTCTGGGGACAGGAATGTCCCTGGGTGTTGGGTATGCAGTGCACAGAGGCACATGTTTTTCCGTCAGAGCCACACACCAAGAGCCCCCAAGTGAACGACAGTCCTGGGGCCTCTCCTCTGATTCGTATTCAGACACTGCTGGTTACCTAGAGCCCATAGGGCAAGCCTTGCCTCCTACCCCACTGATGCTTCAGCTACTAGCTGGGAAGCAGGGATGAGCAGGGACCAAGATGTGAGAAACTTGGCAGGACGGTATCATCTTATGGAGGCAGGACATGGGACAGAGGGACATGAAGGTCCTGTCCTCTCTGATAATCTTCATGTGCCCATGAAGCAGCTGGGAGGAGGTCAGCCCTCAGGCAAATGTGAGTTTATCATCAGTGAGATCAGACAGCAGTTTCCATACACTGGCTGTTGTCCCCTCTCCATAGATGAGGCAGCTGAAACACGAAGTTTCTCTAAGGTGAGGTGTGAACCCAGCATCCTTCTTCCCACATTTCCCCAGGTCTTGGGGCTGAGAGGGCAACCCAGCAGCCTTGGCCATGCTGCACTGCATGAGGCAGCCCAGTGGCTGGAGCCTGTGCTGGAGATGGGAAGGACTGGCAGGAGCAGCAGGATTGCTTAGCACATCTTCACTGTGCCAGAAGGCGCATTTCTGGTCTCCCTGTGGGGGTAGCAGTATCCTCTTCCCACCATCTGTGTGAAACACCACCACAGCTTTGCAAGTGGTTCTCATTTTATTTCCTCATTGAATGAGCTTCACCTCCGGGATCATTTCAGCCTCGGGCATGCAGGAGGCTACCTGCAGCCCAAGAGTGAGTCACAGGGCTGCTGCCCTGCTGGCATGTCCGCTGCTCGGAGCTCCATCCGGCACCGGGATTGCCTGCCTGTAGCTGCCAGCAGAGGGAGGTGCCCAGCCGCCCGCACTGCCTGGCTCTCCAAACCGGGCAGGCTGTGCTTCCAGGCTGCTATTCCATTCCTCCGGACTTTCTGTCCTGCCAGTCACAGGGGTGCACTGACTTCTCGTGTATTTTCCCTGCAGCTGAGTGCTTCAGACTTCACAACCTCAGAAGTCTGGCCGGGCTGATTTAAGGATTTTATGCAAATATTCCCTAAGTATAGAACATTAATTTGAGGTGTCTGGAACACAGGCCCTTTCTAGCCTGATAATGCACTGCAGGTCAGAAAATGCCACCTGATTAAAAGTACTCTTTGGGCTTTGGTGGGTCCATATCTTACTCTTCTGCTTTCTTGCCCCTTCATGAAGTAGCAATGGATTTTATCCAGACTACTTATTATGGCATCTAGTTTCGGTGTTGATCCTAGTTTTGCAGGTGATTGTCTAGAGACATGGGTTCTACCAGCCTCAGTTTTCTGAGTTGTTCTGCGCTCTACAATGTACGCACCTTTGGCAGACCTCCATGTCCTTGTTTCATGACATGAATATCACCCCCCCGACTAGCCTAATGGCAGGTAAGGCTCAGTCTCTCTGATCAGTGGTCCACAAATGAAGAGGCTTATCCTGCAGTGGGACCGTGTTTTGCATATTGCCCTATGAAAATCCAAGTTCAGCTCTGGCAGTGAGATGACAACAGCCGTTGAGCTTCCAGACTTTCAGCTGTGACTTGGATGTCTTGTGTTGCTGTGAAATCAGGCTGCCTACTTCACAAGCAGACACTGTGCTTGCCTGAGGCACAGGGACTTCCCGTTTTCTTTTCTCCCTGCCAGAATCACAACCCCATCTTCTGCTAGACACTACATATCCCTTACCTTTCTAAAAGACCTGGAGAAATTACTGCAGGACTTCCTACAGCAGGCATCTGGGAAAAGAGGCATTTCCCATGGGAAAAGAGGACAGAGAATAGTTTGGGTTGAAAAGGACCTTAACGATCATCTAGCTCCAAACCCCCTGCCATGGGCCAGGACACCTTCACAGATAGAAGAACTATGGAAAATATCTACACATAGGTTACGTGTGGTACATAGGAACCTTGCCAGAAGTTTCCAGAGGTTCAGATAAATACCTAGAACTCCTAGAGGTTCAGAAAAACACCTAGAACTAGTCTCAGACTTGTAGGATGCATCTCTACCAATAAATGAAGCAGTGCCCAGGGTCATTCCCAGTTTTTATTAAAGTGTTACGCCAGGCCCTGGTCTGCTTTTTGTCCGTGCCAGACAGCAGTCTGGCAGACTCTCCTGGGCACGTCTCCAGGGTGTGAACAGCAGGGACCATTCCCCATAGGCTGTTTGCAGAGAGCTAAGCTTGGAAGCAGGCCTTTCCATGCTATGTGGTTTCAGCACCTGGAAGTGTAACATTTTCATTTAATAGCATTATTAAATTACAGCATAATAGTGTAGAGTTCCTGGTAACTATGGTAACAGTGACCTTAAAAAGGGACAAAGTTTCTAGAGAAAATGATCCCTAGGACAAGGCATTAAATCATGGTAACTTAGGTGATGGCCTGTCTGTAGCTGTGCTAGATTAAACTGCACTGCAGTTGTGATTTAATGTTTCTGTTTTAGAAAAACCCAAACATCTCACCTTTTGGTTCTTTGATGCTTTTATAGGGCTGGGGAGCAGAGTATCATCGCCAAGATGTTACAAGCACGCCCTGTTGGATTGAGATCCACCTGCATGGACCATTGCAATGGCTGGATAAGGTGCTGACACAGATGGGCTCACCTCATAACCCCATCTCCTCAGTCTCTTAAGAATCATCTCTAGAATTCCCTTAGGATGGATGCTATTGCAGGCAGTGGCTTATAGGATTTCCAGTGAACAGAAACTTCTATATGTAGATGTATGTAGATGTAAATATATCTATACATAGTCTATGCTCCTTTTTTTATTTCCATGCTATTTTGTGGTTTCTAGTTACTCCGATGCCAGTACAGTAAGTTTAGAAGTTCAGGTATAGCATATCTGTTCTCTAGTGCAAAATAAGCCAAATTTCCTGCAAAAGTGTCAAACATTTCCTGTGAGCATCTTCATTCCCCAGCCAAGCCAGTAAACGGTGCAAATTGTCAGCACTTTCATGCAGATTCAGAAACCTGGCTGTAGCTGTTCCTAGTAGGTGAAATTCACCCCTCTGCAGGCAAACAAAGTCAGATCTCTGCACCATTCATATCCATTTTTACATCCTAAGGTCTAAAAGAGGACCTTAGGTGGTGCACAGGACTTATGCATAGAGATGACTTTCATCCAGTGAACTGAAGGACTAAACTGCAATTCCAGTCTGTCTCCCTACTGCAAAGCACAATGGGACAACAGATCCTCTGAGGAGCCCTGGGGTATCCCTGTCTCCTGTAGGATTTGGCAGGAAGAGAGGGGCCTCTGGACGCGTTCAGCACTGGAGCTTTATTGGAGCATTCTGGACACATCCAAGTAGTCTGATACTTTTAACACAGTAGTGTATGGTACTGCTGCACCGAAAAGCAACAAGCTTCTAAGGAAAAAAAAAAGAAAGAAAATTTGAAATATATGCCTGTAAGTTTAAAAACCAGTTAACTTCAGTGCTTTTTTGCAAAGTACATACTTGCATATGTTTCCGGCATGTAAACTGAATCCTATCCATTATACAGTATTGATGTAGCTTGTTTTAAAGTTAGGACTGTCTGTAGTTAGACTACTGTGCTGATATCAAGTGTATGTCTGAAAGGGACTTGAACTGTGATTCAGAAAAGAGAAATGAAGTGTGCATCGAAGAACTGAGTAATTACTGTATCATTCATCTTGGGATAGTCTCTGTACTGGGAACAAGAAGCCCCACGCTCAGGATGCAATGAGGAGGAGGTGGGAGTCAGCCACCTCCACCCCAGTGCTGGGCCAGTCCTTAGGATCTGACTGCAATGCTCAGGTTTGATGGAGAGGGCTTCCCTGGCAGTCACTTCACACATCCCCATGGATGGTTCCTCCTCTTAGATACAGGCTTCAGCATTTGTAGCACTTTTGCCTCGCCGCAGAGGATGATATGGTAGTATAAGCCACAACCAAGCCAAGAGTGAATCTATGTGCAGAACCTTTCTTAAAAGGTTTATGGTCTTTCTGTAAGCAGGGAAACCTATTGCCCTCACTTGCATCCACAGAGCCCGCCTTGCAAAATGCTGTTCACTTGGTAACTGTTTCTGAGGAGGCAGGTGATACTCTTATTACGTTTTGATGGTCCTCACTACCTTGCTTAAGGGGTAGAGGGTTATTTATTTCCAGGCATAACAGTTCACTGAAAATTATTTTGCTTTAAGGGTCAGAAAGAGCGATAACTTCTCCAGTCTTATTCCTCCTTAGAACGTACCAGAAATATCCTGAGGAAAAAAAAAACCCAAACAAACGTTTTACAGAATGTTTCTTTTCTTCTCACACAATATCTGGTGCTACACATTTTACTGTATAATTACAAGAGGATGCCTGAAATCATATAATCACATAATGCAAAGGAAATATCATTCACTAGAAAGACTTCCCATATGTTTTAGATGCTTTGTAATACCTGTTACGGTGGTAATTATGAACAGAGCAGAAGAATCAGTAAACTAGCAAAGTTACTTCATTTAATGAATCTTCAGCTGCCTGCCGAATTTGTAGGGCACAGAGGATACATTATTGAGTCTGAGCAGTAATAGCAAGTTTTATAGGAAATCTGTAAATACAAAGAACCCTATTCTGTCACCATTTGAGATCACCAGTGTCACTGTGAGATAGAAAAGCTTTCCAGTCTCTTGCAGCAATGAATTCCCATAATAATGTTACACAGAAATTCCAGGTGTGCCATTTATGATTTAGCAGACTTGAAAGAGATCAGTAAGGAAAAACGATGTTTTCCTCAGCTCCCTCTGTCATCAGTGTCACTATATTGAAGTACTGGTAATACATTTTTAAGCATATTATTGCACCTTTTCTCCTGTAACTTCTCTGTGCTTTTCATGTTGCTTATCCCTTTGCTTTCTTGGCACCTAAGGACAGAGAAAATCACCTCTCCTGTCTAGGATCTAGCTCTGTCATTTATCCTAGATTCTTCCTTGCCTTTTAGGCTGAAACCTCCTTCCCTCTTAGTACAGACAGAAGCTGATGGGTTGCTTTTAGACATTCCTAGCATTGTCATCTTCCTCACAGATAGCAAAGGGAGATGTTCTGAGGCGCATCTGCTCTTGGGCAGCTCCTGCCATTGGCAGTTTCCTGCCAACGCAGAAAATTGGATGGCCAGTAAAGAGAAGCAGATTCCTGTGGGGCATCATTCATTTCATCATAAGGCAGGTATTTCAAGTAGGTGAAAAATACTTCTCTCTGGACATGCTTATGTCTTCCCCTTTGAGTGTTAGGGGAACTGAGGGTCACTCAACTCAAATGTGGACTGCTACATTGGACATAGCCACAAGCAGGTGAGTGCACCCAAGGGAAGGTGTGGTGGCTTTCTCAGCATAGTGATACTTGCTTGGTAAATGTCTGTGTTTCTTAAATGGAAGTTGGTAAATTCAGAGCATTTTTTTAATTTCCTGTATGTCTACATTTATAGTAATCCTCGCGCCAATAGGATTTGGCTTTAATGCAGTCCATACCTGCATCTTATTAAAGGTAGTCACCTTAATACTCTCTTACTAGTAAGTAAAGAGGCATTTCTGGAGCATTATTCTTCTGTCCTATTTAAAATATTTGCATTAGGATGAGATGAATTTCACCAAATTTAACTATTTGCTGGAAGTTGGACTGAAGTACCTGATTCTGGGCAATCCAGGCCAACAGCCATCTAAGAGTTGTTAGCTTTTGGGAAGGCTGATACCACTGTGTGAACTTCCCATTTTGGTGGCTTCTAGGGGCTTTGTTCACTGTATGAGATGCTGTACAAACACACAGCAGCTGACAGCTCCTTCCCAAGGGAAGGGAAGAGCTCATCACAAGGGAGAAGTGATAGCAGTAGATGAGGCAAACACGTAAATAGGAAGATGACCCCTGCCCAGATACAGTGATAAAGACTATAATCCATTTATTCCCCTTTCTTTTTGAACAAAGTTTCTGCTTCAGACTTCTCTAGTATATGTGAATTGAGCTCAGTTAAAAATTCCGGTTTCACATCATTTACAGCAGTGTAACTTTGAATCTCACTTGAATGTCTCCCCATTTTGGAAGGCAACATTTTCTGCTGAAAGGTCTTCATGAACCTATCAACCTGTAGTCAATTTAAAGCCTTTAAATGTACTCATTAATACTCAAGCTTTGGAGATAGTCTTCCTGAGAGATTTAAAACCACTTACAGGGAGACTGCTTAGTTGAAGGCAGAGGTTTTTAAATGTTTTTTGAGCCATCAGTGGTTCAAACCGTCTTGAAGGTTTCTGTGGAGAAGTACCATGCGTCAGCAGGCAGTGGTGGGAGTTTGATCAGCAGAGGCATAAAGCATGTTCATTGTGGTACAGAGACTACTTGTTTTCCTATTATCTGGTCAAGAGAAGTAGGCTGCTTAATTGCTGCCAGTTGTACAGCAGCACCAGTATTAATGTGCTATTTGCATTCAGAGGTGATGGTAGCAAATCCAGCACGCTGGCTGCGTGGAGCCATTCTGTGGCACTCCTGCTTGAATGGCTTAGCCCCATGACCTTGCACTGTAGCAGCTGATCAGGTACCGTAAGCAATGATTGTAGCATTCAGATGTGCAGCACGTGCTTTGCCTCTCCATCAGAGGCTATGCCACAAGTGTCTACACCTCATGAAAAAGTTTTGCCTTCCTGATAATGTATCAGAAACACAAAGGGGAACTGTGGCCCCAACTAGCATCAAGTGGAGTTGAGGAAATTCCTTCAATGTCTCCCTCAGGTACTGAGTCGAGACTTTCACTGCCCTGAGCAGCCTTCTCTGAGTGGTCCTGGCCTTCAGAGATCACTTCCAGTTCACATTGTTATGTGGGCTCTGCAGAGATTCAGTGATAACTGGTTGCCACAGGCAGAGATCTCTGTTAGAAGAACAGTTTCAGGATGAAGCATGTTTATCCTCAGCTATTTTTGCATGAGTTCAGTACAGGACAAAGTTATGAGGTATTAATGTTCCCTTAGCATAAAATCAACACTGCAAACATCTCCCACTGTAAATATCATCTGTACCACAGAACTCTTAAAATGGAGAAAATCAGATGTTTGTGACTGTAACTATCTAATCTGCCCTTGTTCTTTCTGGCTTACAGTGCTCACCTTTTCTTATAAGCTCTATGAATCAGTCTCCCCAGTGACAGGAATTGCACAAACGGGGATTTGCAGAGGCAGCTTGGGCAGAGAATTTGATTCTTGGGTGGATGGAAAGAATTTATAAAGAAGCTTGAATGAACCTAATAACTTCAAAGGAGTCTCAAATATAAGGCAAATTACTTGCTCTTAGAGACTTTTCTGGTGCAGCTCTAGCTTTTAGGAATACTTAAGCACTACCTGGTGCTCAACACAGGAAGGAAACATTATGTCCTCTGTACGGTTCGTTTCTTTCCCCGGCTCCCCATAAACTCATGTAGTAAAGCAAACCCGCACACAGTAAAGATTAATCAGTCATAGGGTAATTAAATACAATTTTTCAAAGTTGATCACTACTGCCCAGAATATAGATTTATATAATCAGAAATGTGCTGAATGTAACATGTCCCACCTGCTCTCCAAGCCAAAGGTGAGACCTCTGGAGAAGCCTGGAGGGATGTCAAACTTTTGACATTCACACCTAAACCTGGTTCACATCTAAATCAAGACCTGGTTTAGGGGCAGCTTGAAGTACCACAATGCTTGAGCTGGTGCTTCCTGTACACACAGTCTGGCTGAGTGTGCCAGCCTCCTGATTAAGCCATTAGATATACTGGGACAAACAGTGTCCTATGTGATTCAGGGAGCAGACTGGTTGCATCTGGAAACTGCATTTGTAAGATTACTCTGCCTCAGTGTAGAACTAATGAGGAGATCAGTTTTGAGGCAGTCATTCAAGAACACTCCAAGTACATCTACTGTGTGCATCTCAAAGAAAACTTCAGTCTGAACAGAAACTGCATGACTGAAGACATGAGTTATTAGAGCATTTACCTGGGAATTGCAGTAAGGCAACTCACTTCATGTGTAGCTGGGAAGATGGAATCAGCAGGAGCCTTCACAGGGACTCCTGGCTATAAAATCATAGCAGGAACTAAGAACAGACAAGTGTGCTTCTCTGAGAGTGACTAAGAGATCAGGTCACCATCAGAAAAAAGAGCCTAATAAAGAGTTGGTCCCAATCTTGCAGCAGGGAGAGAGATTGTATGAGAGTTCAGTTCTGTGAATAAAAAGCTTCTCAACCTGGAGTCCTAATTGCAGTCACTGAAACAAGGCTTCTTGATACATCCTACTGGTAGTATCTTCCTGTGAGGTACCAAAAGCCTGAGCGGGCATTTAGTCTTTGTTCAGCAGAGAGAAATTTCTGTGTCTCCAGTGCAGGCAAGCATTTCTCCATGCTGTGCAGCAGCACAAAATACAGGCTTTGGTTTGTACCAATCATTCACTCTTCAGAAACTCCAGAGTTGCCAGGAGCCGCCAGAACCCTGTTACCTGATCACGCCAGGACTTTCCAACCGCTTGCCCGGGTGTGCCTTATATTCCATTGCCATACTGATGCTGTGCTTCCCTGCCAGAGAGGTGAGGCATATGAGCATCTTGCCAAGGGGACACCTCCATTTGCAGCTGGGCCATACTTGCAACTTGGTGCCTGTTGCAATCTGATATGCAGGCCATGTCTCTGCAAGGCAAACAGAACCACTAAATACATCCTCCAGTCAACTTACTCTTCCGTTATAGCCAATGTGAATAGCTGCAGCTAATTGTGAACAGTTTTCAGATCTTCAGTCATAGCATTTTTATTATCCATGGATGCTGCTATTTTACATTCTGTGTTAGTATTCAAATAATATTGCATATGAATAGCATAGAAGAAACAGACCAACCAGTTAATAATTTTAAATACAGACCTCATCAGCAAAGAAAAGCTAGAAAAACTTTAGTAAACTCAGACACCTTGCACTGTCACAGTAGTGATCACTCATGTTTGAAAGTGTTTTTTGATGCTAAAGTGTGTGTTAAATCTTACTAATTCACAGTTATGTCCATGAGAAGCTTTGCAAACAAGAGAGCAAGGGAAAAAACAATGATGAGCAGAGATAATGCACATTCAGATTAGGTTTTTTTGCTTACTCAAGCAATTGGAGATTTTAATTATTTATAATAGTTTTTAAGTGCAAGTTAAAAGTACCACAGCATACTTTCAGCAGATAACTCAGTGTTAGCAATTTAATCCCTCGTTTCAGCATCACCTCTGTGATACCAATGGGCCTGAGAAGCAAGACAAGAAAATGAAGAAACAGGCCTTTTTGTGTGCATCGATGAAGCCATAAGGCTGTAACTTCTATGCAGTCAAGGGTCCAAAACGGTGGATTTGAGCAAGGTGTGGAGATTTTTGTGTTAAGTACAAGCTAGTCTGGTACAGAAAAGCACCGTGAATCATAGACAGATTTAACAGCGTCACTTCTGTCTGAACAACTCTTCACTCTCTTTTTCATCAGAATGAAAGCAAAACATCTGCACCACAACAAACTATTATTCAGTTAGTGATACTCTGTAAAACAGGGTAGTTTGCTGTATAAAGAATGCTACTTGGACTCTTGCCTCTTGGGCATGGAAAATCTCAGACATACTTTAGTTTCAGGAGCCTGAGAGAGCAGGGCATCTTAGAGTCCTCCCACCAGCCCAGCTACTCTAGCCTGTGCTCTGTCATATTGAGAAAGATATAACAACTAGTCATGAAGTGTACATTTTCCCAGCATTCCTCCTGATGCATTTGATTTGAGGCATTCTGAAGTCAACATATTTAGTCTGATGTTTGAACAATAAGCTTCATTTTCTTTGGCTGGAATTATTCTATTGTGAAAGGGATTCACGTCTTGTGTTTTACTGTTAATAAAGATATTTCGGATTTAACAGCTCTTCCCTTGTCTCACATTTTTCTCTTTGAAACGGATTGGCCCTGGAAAGCTGCAGATCCTTGTCCGATTGCTGGTGACCTTGGGAACCAGAGCATTTAGAAAAACTTTATTCATACAAGTCACTCTTGGGCGAGAGGAATCAGTGATTTCACTGAATCAGTAATAGGATGAAGCAACATTTTCTGCAGAATGGGATGGCAGATACTATAAGATTGGAAACTGATACTCCATAAAATACACATGTTATAAAGTATATGTATTCCTCACTGTCCCGTGGTAGATTTGAAAGTTCAAGGGGCTGATCATCCTAATATGGAAGGAGGCAACCTTGAGCCAACAGGCAGTTGTGAGTAGTAATACTGCCCTAGGACAGAAGCCCAGCTGTGGACCAGACAGACCTGCAGCTGTGCAGGTTCTCAAACTGCTCAAGGAATAAAAAGAAATATAGTAAGAATGTATTGTCACAGAAGTCAGGTTTTAAACCTGAGTGATTTTACTTAAAGCTAAACAATAGCCTTGGAATGCAAAAGTTTAATTCTACCTAGTCAGAGTTAGCCATTTTAGTATAGCAAAACAACTAACATGCAAATTTAGTAGACTAAGAAAAGACAGACTTTAGGTTTGTTTTTTAAAGAAAATCAAAGATTTTACTCAAGCAGTCATTGGTCCAGAATGGTTGATACAAAGTTTTTCTTTTTTAAAGAACAACTTGCACAATGCTAAATACAATAAATTGTTACTGAACAAGTTCTATACAAACACAAAGCACAGCTTGTAAAAATATATAAGACTAACAAATACTCCTGAAGATGTATCATTTAGCAGACTGAACTGCTGCAATATCAAAGTAGTACTTCAATAAGCACCTATGCCATTCAGATAACCTCTATTCAGAAATGTGGTTTAATATGAAACTTTCACTTTTGAAACAAAAGGTGGGATTCAACACTTACATAATAGTGTTTGTAGTTTCAAACCCACCACTTACAGAATAACCTGAATTGGCTGAAGACCTGGGAAGTCTAGCACTAGAGCTGATGAGATACTGGTTGTCTTAATGGGACAATTTTAACTATACTTTTTTTCAGAAGAAATGGGCTACATAAAGGAAAAAAAAAAAAAAAAGAACAATTACACAATTACATTTTAGGGTTTGGATGCACTTGCTATTCTGAGTGAAAAGCTTTAGATTTTAACTTATCACTAAAAAATGAGTGATATTCTCATCTGTAACTAAGTTATATTTCATGTATAAGAGGCTGGTCCTTGCAAAAAAATCCACAAAACAAGGTCCAACTTTCAGCTGCATACGTCCCACCTAATTCTTCTAAAGTTTTCTGCCATTTACCTTTTTGGGAACTTCTAACCACAAATTCTTTCACATGGTTTGCACAGACAATGATTTCAAACCTAGTTAACTTGTACATAATGAACATATAGCAGGAGGATGACCTGATTTACACTTCTCTGAGCCAATGGATCAACTTCTGGATGGCATCTTGTCCTTGCCTTATGTCCAGCAAAATGAATTATGCACTAAAGTTTGCCATATCCCTGAGCAATTGCTGTTAGGTCATGCCACTGGACCAGCTCAGATTCAGGACTTTATTTCACAACTTCCATAGAAAGTAACTGACTTCCTTCAATGATTGTCATCAAAGAGTGACTTGTTTAACAGTAAATCCTTATATAGAAGGATGTTGATATAGTGGAAGACTTTGGTAGGAAAAGGGTGTACAGCTAAACGTTACTGATACAAACAAATTTCTATTAAAATCCTAAACAATAAAATTAATTTTAAAAAGAAGCAAAAATAGACTCCTCCAGATTTGCTCACAAGTTTGCAGACACCTAAGCAGCTCCACACCTCAAAAGTGCGAACAAGAGACAAGTAAAACACATAACAGCAGCAACTTCCGCTTTCCCTTAAACATCAAGAGTCTTTGTATTTCTATAAAACACACATCCTATTCCTCTTTCAGCACCATTTGCAGGCATTGATCTGTTCTGATTACCCGGGTGCTCCTTGAAACTGTTGCTGCCTCTGTTCCAAAGCCTGCTGACTTAACAGCTGCTGTTGCTTCTGTAGAAACTGCACTACTTCTGGGCTTCTGAGTAGGGACTGCAAGAAAGGGAAAGCAGACTTTACTTTAAAGAACATGCACTAAATAGCTACCACAGTGATTATATGATAATATTTTTTCATTAAAACGACTTGCACATTACCTATTG